AAAAAAAGTAAGTTGCTACGTTTTACCGTTCGCGAGTAAATTGATCATTTGTAAAACATGTGCGCATGGGCATATAGGGTTAACATTTAATTGCGTTGATTGATTGGCATTTGCGTTTAACGAGCGTGGCTAGCTCCGGAGTGGCTGGAACTACTTCCGGGTTTTTAAGTGAGTTGATTGATTGGTATTTGCGTTTATTGAGCATGGCTAGCTCTGGAGTGGCCGGAACTACTTGCGGAATTATCCACGCATCTGAAAGACAAGCAGAGAATGCGTTGCCATGGGCAGCGGTCATTATTGTTTTGAGAGGTCCGTTATAGGAAATAATGACCGGTAGAACGTTCTGAAATTACATTCAAATCAATGGAGCATTCTACTGCTGCTGTGAAGAGTTGTGTAATAAACACTATTATTATATGACTTGGACCGTACGCGCGCTCTGATTGGCTGATTACCGGTCTGATATTTTCCCATCTCGGACCGTTACCATGACAATTGGTCCGAACAGCGCGTATCACATTTGATATCTTTCCTCGGACCGTTACCATGACAATCTGTCCGCAGCGCGTATCACACAAAATAAACATACTTCACAAATATCTCAAAAGCATTGGTAAAGACACAGACGAGAGTCATAATAAAACATTTATTAACCTTGCTTGCTCGGTCTGTCCAGAGAAATATCAGACCTTTGCCTTTTTGCACAGACCTCGCCACGGCTCGCTCTGTACATTAAGGCCACGGTCTGATATTTCTCCATACAGACCTCTGTTAATAAGCCGTTAGTAATGAGTGACCGGAGTACTTACGGTGCCTTGCGAAAGTATTCGGCACCCTTGAACCTTTCGCCACATTTCAGACTTCAAACATAAAGATATAAAAAAAAATGTTTTGTCATGAATCAACAACAAGTGGGACACAATCGTGAAGTGGAACAAAATTTATTGGATAATTTAAACTTTTTTAACAAATAAAAATTTGAAAAGTGGGGCGTGCAATATTATTCGGCCCCCTTGCGCTAATACTTTTTAGCACCACCTTTTTCTGCAATTACAGCTGCAAGTCGCTTGGGGTATGTCTCTATCAGTTTTGCACATCGAGAGACTGGAATTCTTGCCCATTCTTCCTTGCAAAACAGCTTGAGCTCAGTGAGGTTGGATGGAGAGCGTTTGTGAAAAGCAGTCTTCAGCTCTTTCCACAGATTCTGGATTGGATTCAGGTCTGGACTTTGACTTGGCCATTCTAATACCTTGATACGTCTATTTGTGAACCATTCCATTGTAGATTTGGCTTTATGTTTTGGATCATTTTCCTGTTGGAAGATAAATCTCCGTCCCAGTCTCAGGTCTTTTGCAGACTCCCAGGTTTTCTTCCAGAATGGTCCTGTATTTGGCTCCATCCATCTTCCCATCAATTTTAGCCATCTTCCCTGTCCCTGCTGAAGAAAAGCAGGCCCAAACTATGATGCTGCCACCACCATGTTTGACAGTGGGGATGGTGTGTTCAGGGTGATGAGCTGTGTTGCTTTTACGCCAAACATATCGTTTTGTATTGTGGCCAAAAAGTTTGATTTTGGTTTCATCTGACCAGAGCACCTTCTTCCACATGTTTGGTGTGTCTCCCAGGTGGCTCGTGGCAAACTTTAAACGAGACTTTTTATGGATATCTTTGAGAAATTGATTTCTTCTTGCCACTCTTCCATAAAGGCCAGATTTGTGCAGTGCACGAGTGATTGTTGTCCTATGGACAGACTCTCCCACCTCAGCTGTAGTTATCTGCAGTTCATCCAGAGTGATCATGGGCCTCTTGGTTGCATCTCTGATCAGTCTTCTCCTTGTTTGAGATGAAAGTTTGGAGGAACGGCCGGGTCTTGGTAGATTTGTACTGGTCTGATACTCCTTCCATTTCAATATAATTGCTTGTACAGTGCTCCTTGAGATGTTTAAAGCTTGGGAAATCTTTTTGTATCCAAATCCGGCTTTAAACTTCTCCACAACAGTATCTCGGACCTGCCTGGTGTGTTCCTTTGTCTTCATGGTTCTCTCTGCGCTTTAAACAGAACCCTGAGACTATCAAAGAGCAGGTGCATTTATACGGAGACTTGATTACACACAGGTGCATTCTATTTATCATCATCAGTCATTTAGGACAACATTGGATCATTCAAAGATCCTCACTGAACTTCTGGACTGAGTTTGCTGCACTGAAAGTAAAGGGGCCGAATAATATTGCACGCCCCACTTTTCAGTTTTTTATTTGTTAAAAAAGTTTAAATTATCCAAAAAAGGTTGTTCCACTTCACGATTGTGTCCCACTTGTTGTTGATTCATGACAAAAAATTTAAATTTTAAATCTTTATGTTTGAAGCCTGAAATGTGGCGAAATGTTGAAAGGTTCAAGGGGGCCGAATACTTTCGCAAGGCACTGTAACTTTACCCTCATCTGGACCTGGTCCCAAGAGACATACTGTACGTACTTTGGACTTTGTAATTGTTAGTTTTGCACTTTACTTAAATCTGTGATCGTATCAAGACTTTGTTTCATTCATTTGTCTGTACACATGCATAAAATGGGTTCAAAAGTTACAACTTTTCAACCACATACTTTTACTTCTATTTACATTACATAAGTTATATTTGTCTGTAAATCCGTATAACCGTGGTAAATTTATAAACGAGGATGGAGCCATGTTTGCTAAATACATAAAGGTTTAATTTTTGATCAAAACACAAGGGAAAAATAAATGTTTAGGCATACGTTTTTTATCATATATTCCTTTTTTACTTCTCACTCCTTTTTCGAGTAGATACTTAGATTTACAATATACATGTATTTTAAATAACTAAGTTATGTATTGAACTTGAAATACAAACATTTTATTTCAAATGACAAAAAGTGAAGCATCAGACCAATGTCACTAGTTACGCATCGCACGTAAATTATTATTGGTCTGGCAACCCCTCCCACGCTGAGGAGAAACTTGGACGTTCCATTTTTAATGGAAAAGCCCTCACACTCAGCCGCGCCGTGCCGTACCGTACCGTTACTGTGGAGAAGCGGCTCTACTGACTGAAAGACCATTCCAACGCAAGAATCTACAGTAAGAAACACAGAGAAACAAGAGCCAATGCATCACAAATCTGCCCTTATGTTTATTTATGCATTCTGTAATGTGCCGGTGCAGTCGCATCGCTTGCCTCGAATCACTGGTGCAAATCAGTGAATCTCTCCATCCTACTGTACAAGTGAAATATAACCTTGAGGTTATTGTGGGAACACACTCCTAATACTTTATTAACTACGGTGACCATTCAATTGGTTTTGGTTATTATGTAATTGGCCATTCATGAATCCATAAAGTGTGAAATAAGATATTTTTTACTTACAAAAACAGAGTTTGGATGTATTCTTTGGCTGTATTCTTGAAATAAGAAAATTACATGAAATTCTTACAACAAGCAGTAAAGTAGCAACATTTTCATGTCAAGTCATCATGTCAAGTCATCATTAAATATGTGAAAATGCATTAATAAACCATGCTCTTTTTTAATACTTAAACTGATAAGAGTAGTTCAGCTGTGATTTTTGAATTTCAAAATTAATTTTATAGCCCCTAAATCTTGTTATTGTTTTCATTTCGATGTCCCGCCCTCCACCGTTCTACCAACCAGAAAGTCTGGGATCCGGGTTGTGACCTAAGTGCTTAAAAAGGTTGTGATTCTCAAATCATTAATAACAATACAAAGAATAAAATAACAATTTCTATCAGGCAAAAAGGTGTAGATTTGTTGTTGACAAAACTCTTGTCTATTCAGATATTATGGTCCCAGCTGGATTTGTCTGCATATCAGGCAACCAGAGACAATACAATACAATACAATAAAATGTATTCTTGTATAGCCCTAAATCACAACAGCAGTCACCTCAGAGGACTTAAAAAAAAACCTTGAAATCACCAACACAGATCAGAGAATCAACAATTAAGACACAAAAAATACACATACAGTATGTATTGGTCCATAGGTAGAGACCAATGTCCATGAATGTTGATAAATGTCCATACATGTAGAATGTTAAAGTGTCCTGGATCATTACCACAGTCCTTCATTTTAGACACTTAACTGCCCAACAGACCCTCCTGCATGGGCAAGGAAAAACTCTAAAACCCAGTGGGAGAAAAGTGAGAAACCTCGCAGAGGTCCACATTTTGAGAGAGGGATCCGCTCCTCACGGACGGACGGGCTATAGATCCAGGACCTAAGCTACAGATCAAGCTTAGGTCCAAGACAAAAGAGAAAGACAGTGGGAGAGGTTGCAGTATCTCTTTTGGGCAGGTATTTACATGCTGCTCCTTAAAAAACTCACTGCTCAGACTTTTTTTCTCTAATAAGATTATGACGTATTATAATCTTAATTAGTGAAATACTTGCCACTAAAAAATAAGCAAAATTTATGTTATTTTTAGTAAATAAATCTTACCAAGATTTTACTTTTAGAGTATTATAACTGTAAAAGAAATACAATTCTGGAGTGACTTTAGCATTTGTTTGAAAAAAACATTATTCCAGTGTCTTATTATTGTCTTCATTATTATCATTACCATCATTATTATCATTATCATCATTATTATTATTCTCATAATTGTTGGCCCATATAAAGGCCAACAATCATATTGTATTTAAATTAAGGCCTTTCTCTTTGTGGACACAAGCATGACTTGGTCAATGCAGATTACTGGTGTTGCATGTGAGTGCACAATATGTTATGATCAAAATGATCATTTATCACTATCCGTTTGTGTATATTCCCACATTACGTTTGACCTGTGGTGGAGACAATTGACAGTTTGAACATTTATGAAGCAGTTATTGGAGGCAGCTAATGGAAGTGAATCCAGTGCCATCCAATGTCTGCATTGGATGGCACTCCCCTTACATTGCAGCGTGTTTGCTGTAGATGGAAAAGCCGCCCCAGGGGTTTGTGGCCAGTGTGAATACCTGTTATGATGCAGTGTACTTACCCCTGTGCCGGGGCGGCACTCGTGCACTGGGCAGAGTCCTGAGTCGTAAAGGCGCAGAGGCCTGGGCGTCCCGCAGCAGAGCAACATCCTGCTCAGAGAAGGACCGGTCCCGTTTGAGAGGACCACGGTCCACACCCTCTGAGCTCTCATCCTCCTGCAAACACACAGGCCAGATCAGAGGTTTTGAATTGGTTCTTGTCAGCGAAGTTCTGAATACTTCACCACTGTTTATCACAGAGAACACTACTGTTAGTTTCTCCACTTTGTTTGATTTGAAATTATTTTTGGGATGTCACGATGTGGAAAGCCTCATGCATAGTTTTAATAGCCACCGTGAGTCCATTTTGGATCAGGTTGCACCTGTCAAATCAAATCTGGTGTCTCATAAAGCAGTGTGTCCCTGGATTAATGATGGTATCCGTGATATGAAGAGACTATGTCGGAAAACCGAGCGTCTGTGGAAGTCCACCAAACTTGAGGTACATAGGTTGCACCTCAGGGAACTTATGTCTTCTTTAAACGAAACAATAAAAAATGCCAGATCTGACTACTTCCGCCAGCTGATCACCATGAATAAGAAAAAACCTCAAGTATTGTTTGATACCATCAACTCTATTGTATGTCCTGCTGCTCCTCTTGCACCTGTGTTTTGTAAAGCTGACAGCAATGAATTTCGAACATTTTTTATTGATAAAATCCAGGTTATCATAGATCAACTTCCAACGCTCTCGTTTTGCACACCTGATGCTGTTGAGCTTGTTCCCCATGAGTGGTCCTCTTTTAGCCCTGTTACACAAGCCAATGTCTCAGCTCTGGTAACCAGAATGAAGCCCTCTTTCTGTGTGTCTGATGTTCTGCCCTGTAAACTTTTTGTCAAAGTTTTTGATGTCATTGGCCCCTGGGTTACCAATCTGATCAACCTTTCACTGTCAACTGGTGTTTTTCCCAGTTCTTTAAAACATGCCATTGTGGAACCTCTTCTCAAAAAGCCTAATCTTGACCCTACGCATCTGAACAATTTCAGGCCCATTTCAAAACTTCCGTTTTTGTCCAAAGTGTTGGAGAAGGTGGTCTCTGATCAGTTGGTACCCTTCTTGGAGAAACACAACATTTTTGACACTTTTCAATCCGGTTTCCGTAAGCATCACTCCACGGAAACCGCCCTGCTCAAAGTGTCCAGTGATATTATGATGTCTGCAGACTCTGGAAGATGTACTGTTCTTGTGTTGTTAGATCTCTCGTCAGCATTTGACACTGTGAATCACCAAATCTTGTTGACAAGACTGCGTGACCTGGTCGGAATGTCAGGACCAGTCCTTGCGTGGTTCTCCTCTTATTTATCGGGGAGGAGCTTTAGTGTCTCTGCAAATAAGTTCCTGTCTGACTCTGCTGATTTGCTGTGCGGGGTTCCCCAGGGCTCTGTTTTGGGCCCGATTTTGTTTTTACTCTATGTCCTTCCATTAGGGAAAATTATCCAGAGCTTTGATGATGTTTCTTACCATTTATACGCTGATGATATTCAGCTATACTGCTCTTTCAAGCCCTCTGAGATCGAGAAGTTAAGCTCTTTGCTGAAATGTCTTACGCAAGTTAAAAAATGGCTCGGTACAAATTCCCTCCAACTAAATTCAGACAAAACGGAGATGCTGGTGTTTGCCCCTGATGACGCGATTCCAGGGATTCACCAGTATTTGGGCGATCTGAGTTTGTCTACTAAAGCAAGCCTCGGAAATCTAGGCGTTAACTTTGACAAAGCAATGTCCTTAGAGCATCACTCAAAACTGCTGACAAGGAACTGTTTTTACCAACTGAGAAAAATCTCCAAACTTAGAGCAATTGTGCCAAGGGATGACCTTGAAATTATTATCCACGCCTTTGTGTCTTCCCGTTTAGACTATTGTAACAGTTTATTTTCTTGTCTAAACAAAAAGGAGTTGTCCCGCCTTCATCAGGTACAAAACTCTGCGGCGAGGTTACTGACTCGCACAAACAGACGGGCTCATATTACTCCCATTCTAAAAGCCCTCCATTGGCTCCCAGTCACTTTTCGTTTCAATTTTAAAATCCTGGTGTTGACCTTCAGAGCCTTGCATGGTCAGGGTCCCTCTTACATTAGAGACTTGTTGTGTCCTTATACCCCCTCTCGGAGGCTGAGGTCTCAGGATCAGAACCTTCTCATGGTCCCTCGTACCCGTTACAAGACGAGAGGAGATCGCTCCTTCCAGGTGGTCGCGCCGACGCTCTGGAATGATCTTCCGCTTTCCTTGCGCTTACTTGATTGTGTTGATGTTTTTAAGTGTAAACTGAAAACATACTTGTTTGAAAAAGCATTTTAATTCCAGTGGGAAAGGGGTTGTTTTATGACCACCATGTTTTGTGATTGTAAATGTAAATGTACTTTTATTTATATTTGTATTTTTTGTGAAGCACTTTGTGACCTTTGTCTGTGAAAGGTGCTATATAAATAAATATTACTTACTTACTTACTTACTGTTTGTTTTTTATGCCAAATGAAAGTCTATGTGACAGCTGGTGCCCTCAGGAATGTTAATACTATTCTCCAAGACACTCTGTTCCAGTGTATAGATCATGAACATATTGGCTCTAATGACATTCAAATGCAACTTCAAATCACAAATAAATTCACTATTTATGTTACAATTTTTACAATTTTTATTTTTCTTGTTTTTTTTCTGACTGAGATGTTGCTTCAGTACAGTGTGCAAAGTTTTGCACTGCTCCAGACCGGAGCTGAGAGGATTCATGGTCCAAACCATGCGGATCAGGTGAAAATCCACTGGAGGAATGCTGACTTTTGAAAAATGCTAATGAAGCATTTAGCATTTTACTTTGGACTACAGCAGAGAAAATGGTCCAAACCAAGCGGCTACTCCATCTTTTGACCTGCCCTGCTCCACCCAGAGGCTACTCCACCTCTGCTGCTTTGACCCGCCCTGCTCCACCCAGAGGCTACTCCACCTCTGCTGCTGTGACCCATCCTGCTCCACCCAGAGGCTACTCAATCTGTGATGCTGTGACCCGTCCTACTCCATCTCTGCTTCTCTGACCCGTCCTGTTCCACCGAGAGGCTACTCCATCTCAGCTGCTGTGACCTGAAGGGCTGTTGCTGTTTATTACTATTTTTATCAATTTTCTTTTTTATCTTTACTACTACTGGACACCTGAATTTATCCTTCATGGGATCAATAAAGTATCTATCTATCTATCTATCTATTTTAGACTCTGGAAAATGCCTGGTGTCTGGCCCACTTCCATCTCCTAATAAATTAATTTGATAAAATGCAAGACGTATCCAAACCATAATCAACGTCAAACTTAGATCTGATTTTGACTAAAATGCTCAAAGTAACGATAACCATAATGAAAGACCTCACAATTTTTCTCGTACAAGAAATGATCCGTCTCAATGAAGCTAACCTCTGAAATTGGATCCGGTGTTCTGTCGAGTTGGTCTGCTGCATACGCCATTTCACTGACGTATGTGGAAGAGAATTTATTCATTTAGGTAACGCTTTATATTAAGGTGTGCTTGTTAAGTATTAATAAGGTATTAATAGACATTAGCAACATGCTTATATATTGCTTATATGTACTTATAAACATATTAATAAGCTGCTCATTTCACTATTCTCTAAATGATGTTGTTCTAGTTATATGCTTTTAAGCATTTAATAAGTAATTAGTAAGATACTTATTAAAGGAGGAATATGTTTATAAATATATGAATAAGCTGCTTATTAAACTATTATCGATACCATGTTAATAGGCCACTAACAATATGCCTATGTAAGGTGAGAAAGAGGGCAGGCGCCAGTCGAGCGTGAATAACAGCCCTTTTCGTAAACATGCCCCTCCCGAGCTCCGGAGACTTCAAAGAAACTACGAGTTCAATGGAAGGCTAAACATCTGCCAGGACACTGCAAGAAGACAGACAGAGGGGCAATAAAACAGCAGAACAAACATTGGTGTGCCCTTCTGCCTGACAGAGATCAGGTATCATTCACCCACTATCACTCACGGACATTCCTGTCCCTGGACAATGAATGACTCACCCACGGCGTTCTGGCGCCCCCCAGTGGACACTGAACACTATCACACCCGGGACGGACAATTTCAAACAGCACTCCTAGATTCATTATTCCAATAATCTGCATTGTGCCTTACACGTGTGTATCATTGCCAAGTAATGTGAATGCGGTGTGTGCCTGTACATGTGTTATGAATGTCTGTATTAATCCTGCGTTTGTGCCATTATAACATGTCTGTTGTGAAGGAGGTCCAGGGCGGCGCACAAGGATGACGTCACGGACGCGCCCCCTTTAGAAGTCAATATAAACACACACAATGCAACAGAACGGCCTCTTGGTTCTTCCCGAAATCACCATCGCAACTATTCCTTTTGGTACGTGTCTCCTACACAACCTACGCCCGCCACCATCTCAGGCCTGTACATCCACGAGGACAGCAGCCACTCTCGCTGTCGGAGACGAGGACCTTCCATCGCCAGCCACTTTCGGGCTCCCTGGAACACCCCACCGCAACGCTATTCTAGACCGTGTTGTGTGTGGAACCCACGCCTGGATCCGATCTGCTGGCTTACTCCTGCTCCCTGTTCGAACAAAGACCACGTGGACGAGAACATCGCCTCCATCCTATTCTTCATCCTCATCCTTCCATCTCCATCCTCCCTCGTCATCTTTCCATCGCCCACCTCCCTTGAACGGCTCAAAGTAAGACTGTTCTTTGTTGGAGTGTGATTCAAATGAGATGTATACAACTTCTGTTTAATGTGACCAGAAATCCTTTTCGTTATATTTTCTATCTTCAATTTTTGTAGTCAATAAACCCACGTTAAACTTTAACTCAATCATTTAAGCGTCGTGTTTTTAAATCTCGGATATCACTGGCCGATTTACGCATTCACTACCTATTAGATTATAAGACTGACTCGAGGCAAAGTAGTTGGATCTGTGCAGAAGTAACTCTGCTGCTGCCCTAAAAATAAAAGCAGATCCCCCACTCGTGTAGAACGGCAGACTCTGATTTGGAGACTAGCCGCACTACACTACTTCACACTATTCATCTCTTAATACTTATTATTACCCTACACCTATAAAGATATTAATACGCTGC